GAGGCGCAGATGATGATGATGATGATGTACACCGTGGTCATGTCTATGCTCTTTTTGTTGTCTTCAGCACCTCCAGTCAGTCCCTCTGCGGGCTCCTTCTCCTCCTCGGTGATGTCGCTAATGTTGGCTAAGTTCACCTGGTCGGTGATTGCAGAGGGATCATCAGTGGCATTGCCGCCCACCACCTCAGGTAAAAGCAGATCATTGCTAGCAGCTGAGTTGCCGTCTCCGTTGGGAAGAAACTCGCCATTGGTGGCCGCCGGCCTGGTCGGACTGGGTTTTGGCCTCGGCTTCACCTTCGGAACGTACTTCCAGTTGGTGGGCACCTGTTCAGGGTTGCGGGTCCGTTGGCTGATCCACTTGACGTAATTGCCCACTTTGGTGTAGATGCCCGGCAAACCGGGTCTGGCGCAGCCGATGCCCCAGGAAACCAGGCCAACTAGTTGGCGGTAGTGATTGACCGCTGGAGAGCCGCTGTCACCTGAAAATTTTTTTTGTATAATTGTTTTAGGCTCAACACATGCCTTTGAACTCCCTCACCTTGACAAGCGTCAACTCCTTTGCTCTCTGCGCAAATCATATTGTCGGTAATCTCTCCATCATAGATGGCATTGCAGCGGTCTCGATTCACCACGCTCACTGTCGCCACTTGGAGGTTCTTCGAGAAGCGCATACTGTCCTCTTGCAGGTAGCCCCATCCGGAGATGGTAATGTTCCGTCCGGCAGGCGGTTCGCTGCCAAATGAGGGCAACGCTACTGGCATCGAGTTCGGCGCTTTATAGACGAGAGGTTCCACCGTCTGAATAAGGGCAATATCATTGTCCACCGTTTGGTTGTCGTACTCCTCGTGGACGATGATGCGCTTTGCTCGGGCGGTTAGTCCGCCGGAGTTGTAGGTGAGCGTCGCATAGCGAATTAGCAGCCAGTTTACCGGGACGCTGTGTGTGTATTATGAAAAACAATATATTTATTAAAAGTTAAAACGCTTTTAACTCCATTTGTTACCTTTGCAGACAGTGTGCAGCCGTGAGAATATAGTGCGTCTCGATGATCGCCCCGCCGCAAAAGTGCACCCCCGAGTCGGTTCGCTGCAGTGACACCTGATACGGTCGCTGTTGATTGTTGGCGTCCACGCCGCCGATGACGGCCTTCTTCAGCAGGCCCTCCTCCTCTCCGGAGAGGGGCTCATTTCGGGTGGCAGTGCCGTGCACCAGGTCGTAGTTGGGCCGACGACGGCCGCCCCTGATCGACTCGCCGCTGACCACTTCAAAGGTGCTTAGGAGCAGCTGAAGTAGCACCAGCGCTCCTAGGAGACTGCTGCCTCTGTTGCTGATGAGTGGTAAAAGTGGAAGCTTCATACTGCTGCTGCTGCCGTACTGCAAAAGTGCGGCACGTGTCTAGAAGAGGAGATGAAGTGTTGATGGTAGTGGTGAAAAGGGTGCTTATGGCACTGCTGGGTATCCGGGTGACAAAGGAGTGTTGTGTGCGAGAGCGATGCTCAATGCTGCACAACCGATTTTTACAGGCAAAGCAAGCGTCAGGTGCGTCGGATGGAGTAATCAAGCACAGGATGCCTAATTGGAATGATGTATATTATTGCAAGCGCCTCCAACTTCACAGCCATCGACATCAGGCATCGACAGAGCTGCCGCCGCCGCTTCCATCACAGTTGCTGTTGCTGATGCTGGGAAAAAGTCGCCTNCCGCTTCCATCACAGTTGCTGTTGCTGATGCTGGGAAAAAGTCGCCTAATTAGTGGTTGCTGCTGCTGATGCTGCTCAAAGCGGCAGGCGACGACGGCGTCTCGGCAGTGGCGGCAGCGGCGGCGTCAGCGTTTCAGCGTGGCGATAAATCCACAACCCAAAGTAGAAACACACAGCTGCTCAATTTGAGAGCACCGACCAAGGAGTGGCTAGGCTGGCGGTGGCGGCAGCAGTGATAAGTGCTCTAAGTCTCCGGGCGCCAGGTGCAATGGTGCTCTGAGGGCGAACTAGCAGCATCAACAGCACAACTTAAAGAACGGAAGGCAGATCAACGGCTGTCTGCCTGCTGAGAACCAATTGGGTAGGCAGGCACTGTCGGTCGTCACTGACGACCATCATCAAAAGTAGTGTGCAGAATCTGAAGTGAAAACCTACCGACTGCCATCACTATCACACCTTATCAGAAAGTGGTTACCAGTGGTAACCATCTTTGGTGGTAGTGCCAATGAGTCAGTGAGAGCTTCTTTGTTTTTAATCAACACAAAAGCTTGAAGATCTTTTTGTACCAGAGGTAAGAGAGAATGCCCGTCAGACTGTACCAGGTGACAA